TTCCCAGGTCTGTTACTGCTGGTGTCCGCCCTTTTCCGCTGGCCATGCAGCATTTCTATTCATTTGTCTCCCAGGTCTGTCATCGGTGGTGTCCGCCCTTTTCCGTTGGCCATGCAACATTTCTATTCATTCGTCTCCCAGGTCTGTCACTGCTGGTGTCCGCCCTTTTCCGCTGGCGATGCAACATTTCTATTCATTTGTTTCGCAGGCCTGTCACTGCTGGTGTCCGCCCTTTTCTGCTGGCCATGTAGCATTTCTATATATTTGTCTTCCAGCCCTGCACTGCTGGTGTCCCCCCCCTTTTCTGCTGGCCGTAGCATTTCTATTCATTTGTCTCCCAGGTCTGTCACTGCTGGTGTCCGCCCTTTTCCGTTGGCCATGTAGCATTTCTATTCTTTTGTCTCCCAGGTCTGTCACTGCCAGTGTCCGCTCTTTTCCGCTGGCCATGCAGCATTTCGATTCATCTCCCAGGTCTGTCACTGCTGGTGTCCGCCCTTGTCCGTTGGTCATGCAGCATTTCTATTCATGTGTCTCCCAGGCCTGTCACTGGTGATGTCCGCCCTTTTCCGCTGGCCATGTAGCATTTCTATTCTTTTGTCTCCCAGGTCTGTCACTGGTGTGTCCTTGTCTATTGGCCATGAAGCATTTCTATTCATTCGTCTCCCAGGTCCGTCACTGCTGGTGCCATGTAGCATTTCTATTCATTTGTCTTTCAGGTCTGTCACTGGTGGTGTCCGCCCTTGTCCGTTGGCCATGAAGCATTTCTATTCATTTGTCTCCCAGGTGTGTCACTGCTGGTGTCCGCCCTTTTCCGCAGGCAATGCAGCATTTCTATTCATTTGCCTACCAGGTCTGTCACTGCTGTGTCCGCCCTTTTCTGCGGCCATGCATTAGTCTCCCAGGTCTGTCACTGTTGGTGTCCGCCCTTTTCCGCTGGCGATGCAACATTTCTATTCATTGGCGCTGCCGCCCTTTTCCGCTGGCCATGTAGCATTTCTTTTTCGTTTGTCTCCCATGCGACTTCTTCCTTTTTGTCTTTCAGGTTTGGTGCCTGCACTGCTGTTTTCTGCCGCGTGACTGTCTCCGGGAGTGCATTCCTGCCACACTGTGTAACTCTCTCAGCTTTGCTTTCCTTTTCGGGCAAGCGTTGGATGAATGACCGGATTGGATTTCGGCGGCGTGGCAGCGATCTCTCTGTTCAGTTGGGACGGAGGGCATGCGTGATGCACCAAAAATCAATTTCATGTCACACCCTTCGCTCCTCATGCTTCTATTTCTTGTCCTCACGTGGTCAGCTGCTTGCTGATTGAGCAGCATGACCAGCATCATGTTCGCACTTGAAGAATAATTCACAAAAAGGTTTACTGTTAGGGCTTCTCAATTCTTTCTTAAGATGTGTCCGCGCGCTCTGTACTGCTGTGGCCGTCTCTGCCTTGCAATCCTTTACTTTCGTCTCCCAGCTCTGGGCTGCTGTGGCCGCCTCTGCCTTGGAATCCTTTGTCTCCCAGCTCTGGACGTCGCAAGCTCTAGTTTCGATTTTGAAAAACACAAACTGTTTGGGGTCTACGGTGGTGTAATTTTAATAAGAAGTTGGCCTTAGCAATGGCCTCCAACCTAACAGCAATGTTTTGAACTCTTTTAATAAGTTGGCCTCATTGAAGAGGTTCAAAGACCTCACTCGGGCCCCTCCGTTGATAAGGGCCCCGGTAACCAGCTAACTTTGCACCATCGTTGCAGGTGATGCGATGGGTAATGGAGAGCAAAACCTGACACACCTTCACTGGCAAGCCTCTTGAACGCTGCTTGAGCTGTCAGGATCGACCACAAAAGCTCCTTTTGAAGATCGACCACAAGCTTTCAGATAGATCACTCCATGGGCCAATCTCCAATTGCAATTCTTGGTGCGAGAAAGCACACGATCCTTGAGGCCTTACACGAATTCTGCCAATGAACTTCGTCGGACAGGACGTGATGCTGCATTTGATCTGGCCTTATCGCTGAGAGCGATGGGCAATCTCAGTTCCTGCCAAAGTTGACCCTCAGTGATAGTGCCTCACTGTTTCCTGTGCCTCTTGGAAATCCTCAGGCACTTCGAATCTGAGTGGCCTGGCTGGAGCCCAGTGAGCAGCTTTGACTTGGACGTAAAGGGGGATTAGAAACAACCCAATGTGGAATTGTGAATTGTGTGCCCAGCATCTGCCCACTTTGCAATGGGGCCATCAAGGCGCAAGATTTCCGAGTTCCGAAGTCAGAAGAAAACGCATTTACATCGGCATGTAGCGAAACGCACACGTGAAGAAGACTGTCACCCACAGGCAAGTCAATGGTGCAACTGAAAGATATGCATAACAAAGCAACATGCTTATAACTATGCATACATCCGCCGACCCCAGCCGAGGATGGGGGAGTGCCAAGAGGAAGGCAACTCGAGTCGACTCAAGTGGCAATGGCGGAGTCGTGTGAGGGGAGGGGGATTTGTTGCGGCGAAGTGCAACTTCCCTGGGGGCTCGCGTATTCTGTGGTGGGAGAGGACTATAGTTTTCTAGTCGGTTCAGAAAGCAACATTGGCCTGTGGGCCATCTGAAAGTATTCTTTTTGCCGTAGGGGGCAATTGAGAGGGCTCAAAGTGCCGCACAGCAGCGGCAAATTTGATGAGCCCCAGTCCTTGAAAACGAGCACGCCAACATACGCCAACAAAACATCGCTCTTAGGTTGGAGGCCATCGCTGTTAGGTTCCTTTTGCTATAAGGTTGGAGGCCATTGCTTCTATGACGACAGCATTTGCAAAGGCTCAGAAGTACCCTGCTGTGCATTGAATCAGTTGTTCCAGTGCGAGAGTCTGTTGGTCAACTTTGCTTGAGGATAGCCTTCATGACACCATGGAGAAGTACAGCGGCAATGCTGAGCAAAGTGCCACGACAAGGTGCCACGGCAATGTTGCTGGGTGCAAGGCTTGAATGCGATGCACTTGTTCCTAGTAGCGTCCTTGTTACTACTAGTAAGGCACTTGTTCCTAGTAGCGATGCACTTGTTACTACTAGCGTTCTTGTTACTACTAGTAAGGCACTTGCTACTACAAGCGATGCACTTGTTACTACTAGCGTTCTTGTTACTACTAGTAAGGCACTTGTTACTACAAGCGATGCACTTGTTACTACTAGCGTCCTTGTTACTACTAGTAAGGCACTTGTTCCTAGTAGCAAGCATTGTTTCTACCAGCAACGAGTCGCCGTCCGCGAGACTCCAGCGATCGGTGTGGAGTCGCTGAAATGTGGCTCAGGCCGCTCCGGGTCCAGTATTAGGCCGCACGGCCTTCGATGATCTTCGATGTCAGTCTTATGTTGCTTTTCTAACTTCTAGTTTCTAATAGCAAATATTGTTCCTAGTACGGCCAGGAGCCCCTAGTAGCGTCCTTGTTCCTAGTAGCGATGCCAGGAGCTGGAGTGGGCACCTCCTTTGGAGCTTGTCTACATCGCAGACCCTCTCATCTCCAGCCCACTTTTACTAGTCGATCCAAGCAGGAACTGAGGTGTGAAAAGTTCTATCGATGTTTGCTTCGTCTTGGTGAATTGAGTCTGCTTGCTACATATTACACTTTGCTACGAATCCGTGCGAATGGACATGAAGGGCAATGAGGTCAGCCCTCGGAATGAAGAAGCGCTTCGTGCATCGACGGTGCTTCTGCACCGCACCAACCGACCAGGCTCGTTTCTGCGCAGAAACGTTGCAGGATTGCTGCAAAGGTGACCGCACCGTGAGCAAACCACAGACAGAACAGCAGTGAAAGGCAGCGAAACAGAACCTCATCCTGAGGTCTCAACAGCAGTTCCAGCAACGCCTGCAGCTCTGCTGGCAACCTTTCAGAGAAACCAGATGACAGAGAAGAACAACTTAAGTGGTTGGAGGCCATCGCTATTGTGTTGGAGGACTATTTGGCTCTCTCTAAGCTTTTTCAGTCCCAGACAGATGAAGCAGTCGAGCACACCCCCCTCCCACAAGAGTTCTGAACGAATGTTGAGGGCCCACAGAGGGCACCTGTTACTAGTAGCGTGGCACTTGTTTCTAGTAGCTTCTTGTTACTACTAGTAAGGCACCTGTTACTAGTAGCGATGCCCTCTGCTCCTAGTAGCTTCTTGTTCCTAGTAGTAAGGCCAGGAGCCCCTAGTAGCGTCCTTGCTCCTACCTGGAGGCGGAAATGGGTCCCGACTACCATGGACCGAATGAAATTCGTAAATGCACGACTGTCACAGGCGTGAGTCACAGGCGAACGCCTTCGACGCAAGCAAGAGGAAAAAAGGAGGCCATTCCTATTAGGTTGGAGGCCATCGATTTCAGACTCTAAAGAACGACTTGAATTTTCCTGATGTGAAAGTTAGACGCCACCTCTGCCGCGGCTCGTCTTGCAGCCTCGACCTGGAAAAATGCCCTTAAATGTACAACTTAAGTTCTGAATGTTCTCAAATTCTTTCATAATTAAATGTATAAATTCGAAGGCCATCGCGTATTAAAATGCTTATGTCAATTCGATCGTATTTATTTAGACAATCCTTTTCAGGATAACGGGTTCGTGCTGAGTTCTTCAAAGAATTGGAGAGAAACTTCTTTCCACTCACGAATCGGATCAAAGGAACCGAATCGGTTGTTGGATTTATTGCTTATTAGAACTTATTAGCTTAGAATAGTAAGCTTAGAGTCTTAAAGAGTAGAGTAGTAGACTTGAAGGCAGCATTCTTGCGGAAGACCTCTTGTTCGCAGTAATTGACAGGTCTAAACGTCCTCCAGACATGAGCACGTTCTCCCGCCCCTTCCTGCTGCGCCCGCAGCTGCAGGTCCTGGGAAAAGGGCTTGACACATTCGGACCATCGCATCGAGAGATCGGTCACCGGGGGTAGAGGACGCAGCAAGGACGCTACGAATGGGGCTGGCCGTAACAAGAAGCTACGAACGTAACAAGAATTTAAATGATTCAGCCCGCATCGAGAGATCAAACGTCGATTGAAAGGAATCCGAAGGGATCCGGGTCTAAAGGTCCAAAGAAAACACACCACTTCTTTGTTCCTAGCGTCTTGTAAGGCCAGAAGCCCCGTTCGTAGCTTCTTGTTACAAGTAGCGATGCCAGGAGCCCCTAGTAGCGTCTTTGCTCCTAGTAGCGATGCCAGGAGCCCCTAGTAGCTTCTTATTCGTATTTCTTCTAGAAACATCTTCTCTTTGACTTTTTCTCTCCAACCGGAGAAACGCATGCAGAGCAATCGTGCAGAGCATCGTGCAAGGCATCATCCGGTCACCGGTCACAAGCAGCCCAACAGCCTTCCCTCTTTGCCTCTTTCTTTCGACCTTGACCTTTAAACGCCTTAGATTCCTATTTTCCACAATTCTATTCTTTTGGACTTTTATTGTCAAAAGATCTAGGAACCAACTGAATAGTGCGAGCCTGCATCCTAGCTAGTAGCAGATTACCTAGTAGTTTGTTGAGCCCTTACTGAAATTACGTACGCGCCTACTTCATTGAGGGCGAGCTTCAAAAAGAGTAAACTTTTTCTGTTCTATGTTCATGTTTCTTTCTTCTTACACCTTTGTCCTAGCATGCCAGTGTTCTGCATGGACCCTTTGCAACGGGCTTTCGCCCAAGATTTCAGGGAGAGGTGCCCACGACCAAATAAACTACCTGTCAATCGCACCTTGGAAGAGCAACTACTAACTATACAGTTTTGAGCAACTTATTTGCACTCTACCACACCGCAGATCGCGTTGAACCGGAGTTCGCTCGCGGCCACTCATTTGAACTCCTTCCTCGTACGTGAAGATATGAGAGTCTAAAGTTCAGATAAAAGAGAAAACCAAAAATAAGAAACAAGGTCAAGATGACAAAACAACTTTGTTGGAAAAGACATGCGTCAAAATGAGTCTGCGTCGATTGCTCACATCAGTGGCTTCATGCGCTGCTCCTCTGAAAGGCCCGGAACTTCATTTGGATGCAGCACAGGAGCTGGCACTGTTGCCTACCGCATCTGTTCATGAAAAAGACACATGAACATGGCCTTCAATGTGCTTCTTACCCACTACGCCTGCTTCCCGTTCCTACTCCTGCCAAAAAAACCATTGAGACAAAAGCAAACATCACTATATACATGGCAAGCAATGTTTTAAACATGGACAAAACGGTTTTGCCATCCATGTCTCTGGTGCCTCCAAATGTTGATCTAAAATACCCAAGATCACATGAATCTCGTCGGCGATGCGCCTTAGTGTCAACTTCTACAATGTACAAGCTGATCAAGCCCTTGATCAAGCTGCATGCCAGGTGAATGTTTGAGCATGCTTCAGCATCACATGTCACATGCACCTAACAGTGAACGCTCCAAGGGCCCTCAAGAAACCTCAGGGAATCTGAATTCATTGAACTGCCAGCTTAGAGCTACTAGCCATGGCCTCCAACCTAAAAGCGATGGCCTCCAACCTAAGAGCAATGGCCTCCAACCTAAGAGCGATGGCCTCCTAGCTAAGAGCGATGGCCTCCAACCCAAGAGCAAGGGCCTCCAACCTAAGAGCGATGGCCCCCAACCTAAGAGCGATGGCCTCCAACCTAAGAGCGACGGCCTCCAACCTAAGGGCGATGGCCTCCAACCTAAGAGCGATGGGCTCCAACCTAAGAGCTACCCAAGAGTGATGGCCTCCTAGCTAAGAGCGATGGCCTTCTACCTAAGAGCGATGGCCTCCAACCAAAGCGATGGCCTTCTACCTAAGAGCGACGGCCTCCAACCTAAGGGCGATGGCCTCCAACCTAAGAGCGATGCTCTCCTACCTAAGAACGATGGCCTCGAACGTAAGAGCGATGGCATCCAACCAAAGCGATGGCCTTCTACCTAAGAGCGACGGCCTCCAACCTAAGGGCGATGACCTTTAACCTAAGAGCGATGCTCTCCTACCTAAGAACGATGGCCTCGAACCTAAGAGCGATGGCCTCCAACCATATATATCGCGCTGTAGGTGCTGTAGCCCTTGAATTGCTATCAGCACGTTAAAGTCCTTAGCTGCGAATTCCTGCACCTTAGTGAAATGGTCCACGACAGCCGAATCTGCCGGGCCGGAGGCCCAACCAAACCTAGCGGTAAGGGGGTACCGGGGCCTAGAAGGCCTACATTCGCGAAAATGCTCACAATGCCACGCCAAGTGGATCCAAGACGGTCTGAGTCTACCCTGACAGAAGGGGCAATCCTGCAAAGCAGGGTCATACAAAGCCGGGGACACAGAGGCCCATGCCTAAAGGTAGAGTCCGTATCCATACGCTTGCGCGTAAAGCCAATATCGGTACAGCGAAAAAAACTGTTAGGTTTCTTTTGGATGATCTTGCAAAAGCTGCGTGACCTCATGTCTTTGACAGCGAAGCCACTTGACGAAAGCATGCCACCGAAACTGCATTCTTAATTCATGCCTTTGAGCAGAGAGGCTCTGTCTTCTAAGGTCAGAAGACCGAAAAAGTTGCACCTCGACACCGCTGTAACAACGCCACGTCCACGGACGCACCTCACTGCAACCAATCCCTCTCAAATGCCTACGTAGCACACCAACAGGCGAAGCGTAAGAGTTGCACCAAGGTAAGTCAAGCTTACTTAGGGTGCCCCACAGCCGTTGGATCACCGCACTCACCAAATGAAGCGACCCACCGAAAAAGAGCATGAGGAGCCATTTACTAGCCATCCGGGTCTTGCCACAAACAACACGCCTGAAAGATGTCAGGAGGCGATCTCCGGACGTGAGGGTGGGAGACCTACAGAACAAACCATAAGCCACAATGCTCAAGACGAAGCATCTAAAAGCTTCCACTGCCCCAGTCCAAGGCAGAGACGCACCAACCAACAGCGAAGCAGCCTTCTCAGCCTTGTCCAATCTCTCCTGCTCACCAATCGTATATTTACGAACTTTGGACGCGCGATGGCCTCCAACCAAAGCGATGGCCTCGAACCTAAGAACGATGGCCTCCAACCAAAGCGATGGCCTTCTACCTAAGAGCGACGGCCTCCAACCTGAGAGCGATGGCCTCCAACCTGAGAGCGATGGCGTCCAACCTGAGAGCGATGGCCTCCAACCTAAGAGCGATGGCCTTCTACCTAGGAGCGACGGCTGCTACTACATGTGGACGCAGGATAGCTCACGCTTCTTCAAGGAAGCTCCCCCCGGAGGGCGGGTCAGCTTTCTTGAAAAGCGCTCGCACTTGAGTATTATACACGTGGTTTCGCAAAGTCATTGTCTTTTTCTCTGTGCAAACTGCACCAAGTGCATGGTTTGCGTTGATTGTTTTTTTCCCTGAAGAAAAACATTTCATCTTCATGAGGCTTCGTCCCGTAGTCTGTGGCGCACCGAAACATGTCAACAACTCCCTACTTCTAAAAAGGAGCTGGGTGCAGTGCTTAGACCTATCTTCCGTTTGTTTCTAGTAGCTTCTTGCTCCTAGTAGTAATGCCAGGAGCTACTAGTAGCTTCCTCTTTCAAATAGCGATGGCCTCCAACCTACATTGAACTGCAGTGCTCCAGGGTCTGTCTGTCGCAATGTGGTGAACCGCATTGAACTAGATCGCACAGCTCAGACTCGGCCGTGAGGTTTTGCATGTAAACCCTTAGCGTGATGGTGCTAGTAGCTTCCCTTGCTACTAATTCTAAAATTAACTTGATTCTGGTAGTAAGGCCCTTGCTCCTAGTAGTATGGCCAGGAGCCCCTAGTAGCTTCTTGTGACCCTAGTAGTTCTGATATTCTCGTCCAATGGTGTCATTGATGCCTCCACCTGACTGGAGGAAATTACAGATGAGCGTTTCGCTGCAATGAGAAGCAGATTCTACAGCTTTAGCAACCCCCAGACTACATGGTTACAGCTTTAGCAAATTCTGTTGGCCACGTTTCTTCATTTCAGCGATGCTACGTTCTTCAGAAACGCCGGAGAGTCTCACATGTCGTGCTGCCGCTCCGCGTGCTACTAGGAGCAAAGGGCATCGCTACTAGGAGCAAGGACGCTACTAGTAACTCCCGGCATTACTACTAGGAGAAAGAAGCTATTAGGTTGGAGGCCATCGCTTTAGTCTTGCTTTAGCATGCTTTGGCAGGCCCCCAAACCCATTTTCCCACTCTGCTAGATCCGCTGCAGTTGACTTGCTTTTTTCCTCAGCGAATCCTGGAACACATCAACCCCCATCCAGCAACTGGCAACCTATCCACCTTTGCCACATCCGCTTTCCTAAAGGACAAACATTCAAAAATCAACAATCCTGGGCTGTTCCCAGCCACAAGAGTCCAAAACGGACACCCACTAAGCAGTACAAACAAAAAACATGCATGTTTGCACATAGCAATTCTACCCCTTTCTTTTAGGCCACTGCCCCAAAGCACCTCGCACTTTCCCCAAGTCCTCACAAGCGGCAGCGAATCTGAAGAAAGGGGG